TACCAGGGCAGCCCCATGAAGGAGCACAGAGCCATGAGGATGCCCACCCAGAACAGGTCCAGGTGGTAGCCGGCGGCCTTCTGTGGGCAGGGGAGGGGGTGGGAGAGACGAGACTCAGGCTTGGCCCCAGCCAGGATCTGAGTCCCGGGGAGAAGGGCTCTCACCCAGGGGCCAAGTATGGCTGCCATTGCTGAATGAAGGGCCCCGGGGGTGTCTGAACAGAGGGAGGAGACAGGGGACCTGAACGTTCTCAGACCCAGAGTTGGGGTGGGTGGCAGTCTCGGGGACCCAGAGGTCCGAAGAAGCTCCTCTCTTCACCGTTTCAGGTCAAAATCCCCCTGTCTGGATCTGCTCGGACTCCCGGGTTCACTGGCAGGAGGGACAGCCACAGATGGACGTGGAGGGGTCACTTTGGGAGAGGAGGGACCATCTGCCAGGGCTCCTCTGGCCCTCCTGGTCTTGAACCCCTCTGCCCTGGCCTCGGCGGCCTGAGCTGCCTGTGGAGGTCACACCAAGGGAGACTCCCGACGGCCACTCATGCTCCCCTTACCCTCAGCTTGTTCTCCTTCCGGTTGACGATGACGGCGGTGATCTGCTGGTCCATGAAGATCAGGATGGTCACCAGCAGGGCGGGCAGGATGCTCGCCAGGTATACCCACCACGGGTTCTTCCCAAACGGGGGCACGAACCAGCCTCGGTCGGGCCGCGTGGGCTGAGCAGGAGCAAACGAGAGGGGCCTGTCCCCCTGCCCAGGCCCCTCTCCTGGCCCTGGGGGCAGCCTCTCCCCTTCAAGAAATCAGGACGCCTGTAACTCGAGAGTCGAGAACAAGGAGGCCGCCAGCCCAGGAAGGAGTCAGAGAAGGTGCCCTGGGGCTGCCTGGGAAACAGTTGGGAGAGCAGGGTGTGGGGTGCGGGTGGGGGCACACGGTCCCTAATGGTCAAATAGCAAAAAGTAGAAATGAGGCCTGGCGGGCATGAAAATATGGCTCGATGGACCCAGCCCCTGGTCCTTGTGCCTCCCTGCTGAGCCACCTGTCTATGGGACACGGAATAAAACCACCTGTGAAAAACCTCAGGTCAAACCCTGTGTTCAGAGAGTCAGGGCTAAAGACGCAGGAGCTGGGCCACAGTTTATTCAAGGGCAACGGTCATTCTCATTACCAAGGCCTCTACCACAGTGGCTCTCGACCTTCCTCATGCCACGACCCTTTCATACAGTTCCTCATGCTATGGTGACCCCCCAACCCTAAAATGATTTTCGCTGCTACTTCATCATTGTTATTTTGCTACTGTCATGAATTGGGTGACCCCTGTAAAAGGGTTGTTCGACCCCCAAAGGGGTCTCGACCCACAGGTTGAGAACTACGGCTCTAAGGGTTGTAGGAGACTTGCTCCAGCTTCTGAGGAGCAGCCTGAAATAGTCTCTCCGAGGGCCTGGCCACACAGGGGCCTGGTTCCAGAACCCGGATGCTCACTCTGGTTTTGCTGGTTGGGGCTCCTTGTGCGGGGGGGGGGGGGGGGGGGGGGGGCTGGGTGTGAACTTGGCAGCAAGCAGCTGGCAGGGAGTCTCGACTAGCAGGTTGCTTTGGATACAGGGGAACTCCGACCTGAGCTGGGCTCCCATGCCCGCTGAGGGCCTGAGGAAAGGCAGGGGGGCGGCCTCCCCAGGCTGTTGATTCCTTAGGTTGGGGGGCCAAGACTGCATTTCTAGCGAGTACCCAGATGAGGAAGGGGTGCTAGTCTGGGGACCACACCTTGAGAACCGCTGCCCTAAGGGATGGCCAGTTCCCAGGTTGCCCAGCCCGTTGGCTGTTTTGGGTCAGCAACAGGAAACCGCCAAGTGGCAATGAAGGGCCTTCAGCAGCGCAGGACGCAGGACCCAGCACTTTCTCCACCCCATGGCTTTGCAGCAAGCGTGAGCATGTTGCACGCCCCCTATCGCCAGGGTGTGGAAAGTTCCTTGTAGGAAGCTGAGACCACTGCAGATCTGGCTCCCACCAGTCCCCTCCCCCACACCTCCAAGGGAGGGCTGCGAGGAGGGGTCGGGTGGGGTGGGACACACAAAGACAACCACCAAGGCCACTTGGCAGAGAGGAGGAGGTCTGGTCAGTATGGAGGGAGGGCCCGAAGCAAGTGGGCAAACAGAAGGGGTGCCCCAAGCGGGGGCGATGGCCAGACCTTGATGACACTGGGCACGTGCAGCTTGGGGGTTTCCAGGCCAAAACAGGCATCGATTCCACAGAACATCAGGATGGAAAAGACGATGGAAAAGTCAGCCACCAGGGCCCGGACCTGCGGAAGGGAGGTGAGTCAGTCGGCGAGGCTCTTGCCCAGCTCAGGGCTGACCCAGCCCCGGGGCAGAGAGAGGAAGGAGCCCGGCGAAGACTTTGGATTCTACCATCCACAGACCTAGTCTCAGATCCTGGCTCTGTGCTGGCCAGCGGCGGACCCTCGAGGAAGCCTGGTCATCTCTCTGAGCCACAGCTTTCTCGGCCGGCCGTCAGATGAAGCACATGATTGTACCTGCCCCGTAGGCATAAGCAAGCTAGGACACCCGTGGCGGTTACATAATTTCATGTCAACTTGGTAAAAGAATGAAGAGTGGGGTCTAGCCTGTCAGTCGGACCACAGCCTGAAGATATCTCTTTGTGTGCACGCACCTAATCATAGGGATTCTGGGAACTTTCTTCTTCCCTGGAGGCGGGACACCCTTTGCTTCACCTTCTTGTTGACAAGCCATGTGGAGCCACGCTGACGGCAGCTGGAGCCCTGGAGATGCGCCCACCACCACTGGATCCACAGGACTTTGCACCTACTAGGCCTGTGATCTCCCTGCGTTCTGCATCATTGCATGTGTTGCGTGAGTCTGAAGAATGATTTATAGACCAGTTGGACAGATGTGCTAATACTGGACTTAATGGACTTGATCTAGACTGGGCTGGGATGTTTTCCCAACATACAATGACTGTTTGATATAAAGTTCTCTCACACACATATGAGTGTCTCTGGATTTGTTTCTCTAGTCCACCCAGACTAACACCCCACATTTAGGGTCCCTGCCATACACAGTGGGAGCCTGTGAGAGTTGGAACACACGACAGGCTGGCTTGGTTTTTCTGGGCCAAATTCTCCACCTTTGACAGGGTGCAGTCTTGCCATTTTTCGAGCAATTCTTTCAGGAGAGAATACGTCAGCTATTCTCCGACAGGTTCCTGCCTACACAGATTGCATCTTTTGTGGGTTTTATTGTCTTACCTAGGTGGCCATGGCAGCTGAAGACCTTTGGGGGCATGGCAGATGAGTGTGTGGGAGGGCAAGGGCTGAGCTCGGAAGGAAACCTAAGCTTCTAAGATCCAATGCAGACGGCTACACAGCCACCTGCACTAGGAAGGTGCCTCTCAAGCCCTGGGGCCAGACCTTCTGAGCATGTGGTAGTTACATCATCTGCGGTCAATTGGAGAGGATTCACAGTAAAGGGGTGGAGCCTAGCCTGTCAATCAGGTAGTAGCTCCATGACCTCATTTGGAAATGCTAAGGAGATGAATAGCTCACTGGAGGAGGGACACACTCACTCCCTGCAAGACATTCTTGTTGACAAGCCACATGGAGACAAGCTGATGGCAGCCAGGCCTCGGAGCCGGAGAAGCCACGTGGAGACCCCTGCCAGTGCTGAGATGCTTCCACCGCCACTGAATCCACAAGACTTCCCACCCATTGGCCTGTGATCTTCCTGCATTTGGTGTCATTGCATGGGTTGTGTGAGTCTGAAGAGGACTTTATAGATTGGTATTGGGCATGTGGGCTAATATCAGACTTATGGACTTGATCTGGACTGGGCTGGGATGCTTTCTTAATATACAATTACTCTTTGATATCAAGCTCTTTCTTATACACATGAGTCTCCCTGGATTCGTTTCTCTAGTCTACCTGGACTAACACAATCCATGACAGGTCCTTGTTCCCTGGCTCCCTCGTTTTCAGGAGGCTCTTCTGAGGCCAGGTTCTGAGAACTCTGGCCCTGTCCTTTCTGGACCAGTGTCCTTAGAGTGCTTCCACACCAGTCAACATCCCAAGTCTCGGAAGTCCAGCCTGCTGCGCAGCTGGTATCTGTCTATTCAGGGACAGCCATCTCTGAGAAACTACTGGAGAAGTTCAGGAGAGCAGGGGCAGGTGAGAGCACATGGAATGATGTTCCTGGACTTCCTGCTCCCCTTTAAGATTGTTAGCAAAATAATGTAGGTAATTGATTTAAAAAACAGAATATTAAAAAAAACAAAAAAACTCCCCAAAACCTTCCAGTGAAAAGTAAAGCCCCGCCTTCCAGTCCAGGCCCGCCCACTTACGCCTGCTCGGCTTTAAGTGTCCGGGAGTTAGTTCCCTCCCTGTCATTAAAAACTATGTTTATAATGTCATATTCTGATTTCCTAATTTAAGGCCCTCTCTAGCTCTTTCCCCTGCTATCAGGCCTGCTCTCTGTATCCCTAGGTATCTCTCAGTGCTACTTGCTATGTTTCTATGTATCTACCCATCCATGTGTCACTATCGGTGTATCTTTTAAAGATACATTCTATTTATAATCTTCCCTCTGGTGTAAGTAAGGAGTTAGCTGACTGGCTCTTTGCGCTCTCTCCTCCTTTCTAGTCTGGCGGTGTTGTTTTAAAACTCTCCCAGGGGTATTCTGGTGGTTACGCATTGGGCTGTGATCCACATGGTCGGCAGTTTGAAACCACCAGCAGCCCCTCGGGAGAAAGCCTGGGTTTCCTCCTGGAAACAGTGAGGAGGTCTCGCCATCTTTGCCTGCTGGTTGTACGTCTTCCCAAACAGCTCCGTCTGCTTTGGCAGGCCGTGCACGGCCCTTTCAGTGTGCTTCATCGGCACCAGGATCCCAGGCCTCGCAGCTTCTTCCCCAAACAACATACGGCATTTCTCCGTGTTCTATTTTTCATTCTCCCAGTTGCACCAAAATGGCCTGATGTTATTTGTCACCTTCCACCTTGCCCAGCATCCTGCCTGGTGACTTTCCTTTTGGAGAGAGGTGGCTGCAGTCTATGCAAGCTCATTGTCTCACGTGTGTGTACGGAGACTGTTCAACAACGTTCAATCGTTCTCCTGTGGACAGGGCCATGTGGATCCGCTCTGGCATCTTTCCAGTTAGAGCCGAGGTTCCTTCTGGTCGGCATTTTTGCACATGTGTGAGGGCTTCTCTGGGGTCTAGCTGGCAGTGGATGTGGAGGGTGGGAGATTCCCCCCTCCCCCGGAGCCCCCTCCAGTTTTCTCAGAATGCCCATTGGCTCTCCAGATTCCAGACTCCTCTGTACACACCCCAATAACTGCAAATAGTTAATTGGCTCAGCAGCTGCTGACCCCCAAATTGGAGGTTCCAGTCTACCCAGAAACACCTCGGAAGAAAGACCAGGTAATCTACTTCTGAAAGATCTGCCACTGAGAACAGTGCACAGTTACACTGGGACCCACTTGGGATGACCTGTGTCAGAGAAAAATTCTGAGCACTCTGTTTGGAGGAGGATATGGACCACAGTGAAAAGCCCAAGTCCATTTGCAGAGCCCCCACAGGGATTAAGCCTCCATTGAATTCCTACTGACCCTTAACTAAGGATGTGAGCAGGCTTGCCCTCAGGCATGGTGCATTGATAAATCGATTACCTTGACCTCCCTCCAGCCAGCAAGCCCTGAGAGGGGCAGTCTGCTTGTGTCCTCGATGTGTGTGTGACCGTATTGGGAAGGGTAGCCTAGTCATGAGTCATGCCCTGACTGCCTGGGTCAGAAGACCCTGGACCAAGTTTGTTAGCCCCTCTGACATGCGTCCCATTCCTCGTTTAGTTCCCACGTCTGCAGTCCCCCTGGTCACAGGATGTGTTGATGCTGCCGCCCATCATGTTTTGGTGAAAGTTCCTTTGACCTCCCAAGTCCTTTTTAAAGCTCTGCAGCTCAGCAGCCGCCCCCACCATCCCAGGACCCCATTATGGTCTTGTGCCGATAGATGCCCCTCATCCAGATGACACGCACCTTTGCCCTATTTGAGACATAAATGTTCTCCTGGAATTACACTTGGGATTTGGGGTCTCTGGTACCCTTTAAGAGAGGGGACTTGATAGCAACTGGCTTTTCATTCACTCCCCCTTCATTGCTTTCATCAGTGACTCGGGCACTGGTGGTGGGAAACGGGGCAGCCTCCTCAACACCAAATTCCAGATGGCACCTGAGCAATTTTAAAGCATTGGGGGTGGGGGGGGGCGGGCATTGGTGGCAGACACATTTCACACAATATAATCCTAAGGAGTCCCCCGCAATGTGACAAATAGTCTGTGATGTCACTTCTGTTCAAGAATGTCTGTAGAAGGGAGCCTCGGGGACTGTGCCTGGTTGAAGTGGGAGGTCTGGAGGGTGCATGTGTGTTGCTGGACACTTGTTTACACACTTGGCGCATTGCAAAGCTTCCTGAAGGGCCTTTGTTTCAGTCCTTACCAAATATTGGGGGAAACGGAATTGTTAGTGCCATTACCACTACAAGTGATAGTGGTATTATTTGTCTGCAATGGCATTCTGAGGGTGCTCATGGCTCGATGGCATGGTGGGCTACTTGTTAGGCTGCTCACCAGTTCAAACCCACCGGTCCCTCTGAGGAGAGATGAGGTTCTTGGCTCCTGTGAAAACTGGCGGCCTCAGAAACCCACAGGGTTTCCTTTGCACTCAGTCCCACGGGGCCTCTGTCAGCGGGAGGGTGTTGAGCGAGCGTGTCTCTCCTGACACAGCCATTTCTCAAAACAACAAGTGCTTCCTCTTTGGTGTCTGAATTTGTTGTCCAGCCACAAACAGAAAGTGACATTAAAAGATAGCAGCTCACGTTTACAATGACATTAAAAAATAAATAAAAATACTTAGGAATAAATCTAACCAAAGATGCGTAAGACCTCTCCAAACCAAGACATGTAAAACACAATGGGGGGAGAAGAGATCTAAGCCCCCGGAGAGGGATGCCAGTTTGTGGATCACAAGAGCCAACGTCGGAAAGATATCCAGTCGCCCCAGGTTGACACAGAGAATCAATACGGTCCTATCAAGAAGACAACAAGTCGACTTTGGTGAAATTGAAGGAAATTCTAAAATTCGTGTGGAAATGCAAAGGGTTAAGATGAGCCAAGACTCTTGAAAAAGTAAAACAAAAAGAATTTGGATTATGCAGTATATGGGCTTATAATAAGCTCTAGAAAGAAATACAGTGTGGTCTTGGTATAAGGGCAGACGACTAAGTGACTTTTGATATAATTTTGATCTATTTGACTACAGCAAAACTAAGAATTTCTGTTAAACCAAAGACACTAAGAAAATGAAACAGTATAAAGAGTCCAGAAATAGACTGTGGCCTACGTGGATACTTAATATAATGGCAAAGTAAGCACTTAAGAAAAAAAAGGTCAGTATTAGAATGAATGACTCTACAGACAAAGCAAACCAGACAGATAAAATGACCTGATGCGCTGTAGCCCTGATGTGAAGGGGAAACAATGACGCTTCAGGAGAGGCTGTTTGTCCGTCTCTTCCTTAAGAAAATATTTTTATCTCTGACGGCAGTTAAAACTAGCCATTTCTGCTCATCAAAAAATCTCAGCAAGAAAGTAACAAGCCCAGTCCCAGATCTGGAGGAGATATAGGAAACACAGATGACCCCCAAAGGGGGTTTACCCAGAATCTCTGAAGAACTCATGAACCCCAGAAAGAAAAAGACAGAGTGCCAAGAGAAATGTCCCAGACTCTTGAGTGGGCACTTCCCAAAAGAAAGTCGCATGGCCGTTGGCCAATAGACACACAGTAAGGCTTTCAACCTCAGCTGTCATTGGTGAAGTGAAAAATAAATGAATGAAATAAAAGCACAAGGTACGACTGATACAGAAAGGTTAAAGATAGAAGTCCGACTATACCAAGTGTTGTCAAGGGGACTTGAACCCAGTTCCCTCTGGCCCTGAAACCTGTGCTCTTTCTGCAACCTACGGGACCTTAGCAAAGCTCTGGGCCAGTGCTGATGCAGTCGGTGCCCATCCTGTTAGAGGACCAGCATCCTTCTGACTCTGGGGCGAACTTACCTTGGTAGGGAAGTAGCGGCTGGATTTGAACTTCTTCAAAGCCAGGGTCATGGAGTAAGTCCCGAAGAAAAGGATGAAGGAGAGGAGTGCAAGGTCTGGGATGAACTGGCAGGAATCCCCGAGCAGGCTCCCACCGTAGCTCAGACACTCCTTCTTGCTCAGCAGGGACCAGTCCAGCCCTGTGAGGTTAAGGGGGTTGTACTTGGAGACCAAGAACAGGAGAGAAAGGGTTAGGGTCTTCTTGGTGGGTCAGATGTGTCTAAGTCCCACCTCCCCACCCCACAGATTCCAGGCAGTCTGGACCCCCTTCACTGCCCTCCAAGATGCCCTCACCCTCCCGCCCCCTGAAGGTGTCCTGGGCAGCTTGGGGGTGCTCCTGGGGCCAGGCCAGTTCAAAGACTGGGCAGCAGGAGGCTCCCTGGGAAGCTCAGGAACCTATGTGCTTCTGCATTGTGTCTGGGATACACTGCTGTGCTGGCAAAGAGGAAACGTGCATGGGAAAAGCCTGCTCCTCTGCAGCCCAGGCTCTCAGCACAAAATCTCAGGTCCTCTGGGCTCATCCGGCCACCTAGTCTTTCCGTCCTTCCTCCTCTTCATACACCAGAGTGTACACCCTCCCAGTTCACCTTATTCATTTCTCCCTGGCTTCCAGAGGCCGCACAGCCAGAGGCGAAGGAGGGCAAAAGGTGGCATGATGGCTCAGTGCTTCGCCGCTAACTGAATGGCCCACCCACTGCCCCACTGGAGCAAAGCCCTGGTGATCTGCTCCCAGAGGGATGACAGCTTACATCCTGCACCTGGACGTGTCTCCTAGAGGTCTGAAGGTAGTGACCTCTCGTCATGGCTGCTTTGTTCACAAGCATCATAAAGTGGAATCCATTTGAGCGTCCACCCGTGGGAGACTGGACGAGCACAATGTGGTGCATGCATACTCGGTGACCATGGAACATATGACACCACGGATGGACGCTCAGAGAAACATGCCAAGCACATGAAGACAGCCCTTGTACGGCCCCTTGTTTACAAGAAGACAGGAATAAGATGGAGAGAGAGAGCAGTGCTCGCTCACGGATACCAGGAGAAGGGAGGAAGGGGATGTGTGCTCTAGAACCTCAAGTCTAGACTGTAAACACATGTTATCTTTTGGTGGTGGGGAAAGTGGTACTGAATGAGTCCAATGAGCACAGTATGACCACTGTAAATGAGGCCACTAAGAGGTGCTCTTGAGCAGAGGAGGCCTGTGATAAAGAAATTGACATACATAAGATGGTAAAACAAGTATAACGGTGGCAGTTATACAATCGTTTGTCAAGTTAAGGATTAAGAGAGAAAGGGTAGAGTCTAGCTTGTCAATCAAGATATAACCAATGAGGCCTCTGTGTAGGCCTGGCCTTCTCCTGAGAATTCTGGGAACTCCTGTTTTACCTCCTTGGAGACGGGAGACTCTCTCTCTCTGCTCACTCCCTTGGAGACTCTCTATTGACAAGATTCAAGACTCACTCCCTGAGAGACGCTCTACTGACAAGACACATGGCGCTACACCCTGGGAGCTGGAGAAG